CTCGTTTTTTTTAGACCTTTCGATTTTCCGCCGCTTCCACTTCGTTTCCTATTTTTTCCCCCACCGCTCCCCCCCCCCAAAATCATGTACACTTCTCGCTTTTCCCTCCCCTCTTTTCTTGTGTTATTGTTTTTTTGCATGCCTGCGCATTTCGATCCAGGATGTCAATGTGCAAGCGTTGTTTGATGGCCGTTCCCAACTTGTTGCTCGCTCGGATTGTACAAAACATCAAAAGTAAACCGTTCCCCTTCAATTTCTGGTCTCCTGTTTGTTCTTGATCGCCATTCGAATGTAATGTACAATTCATTCATCTTTTTTTATTATATATTTTTATTATTTCATTGCTACTTTTTGTTTGATGCCAGCCAGCACCACGCTTCTGCCTTCTCAGCGCCTCTGCGGCATTGTGCATGAAATCCTTCGCCTGCTCTCGAGCGCGTCCCAAGCAGCCCTCGCCGGCGCCATTGTACAGCACCACCCTCTTCTTCTTCTTCTTCTTCTTCTTCTTTTTCTTCTCTCGGTTTCATCCCAACCCCCCTTTTGCTTCACTGCACCCCGCATCCCTCTCCTCGGTCAACCGAACCGCGTGGCTCTATTCGCATTGCAGCTTTTACTGCTCCCATCTCGTGACACCATCCCCAGGCGGTTGTCCCCCCCCCACACCCCGGCTTCGTCCGACTGCCACTGCTTCTGCTTCCATCGCACACCACACGCACGCACTCACACACACACTCGACTCGCTCGGTCCGTGAGCAACAGCGCGAAGAAGAGCACCAATCGTTAGCAGAACAAATGTTTGAAAGTGGCTTTTTTTTACTCCCCCCCTCTCTCTCTCTCCCTCTCTCGCTCTCTCTCTCCCGCAGCAGTAAGGCTTACGAATCATAGCCCTGCTTCTTTTGCTTCACTCGCATTCGCTGACTGCACAGCAATGTTCACCAAAGGAGGGCGGGGGGGGGGCGATGATGAAAGCGGTTTTTTTTTTTTGCATGTGGCTGACATTTAAGCAATTTGTTTGCTTCACTACGGCGATGCATTGGGAGTTGCGATGAACCTCACCGTGCATCCTGATCGCTTGTCAAACAATGGGACGGAAAACAACTGAATCTGCAAAATTAAAATGACGTGGTCGAGGACACGACGAACGCGGTCGAGCTCTACAAGAAGCTGTTTGTGCTGCTGAGCTCAACCGCTGAGAACCTCGCAGATGCCACGACACCGCTAGTGGCAGGTGTCACCGAGACACACGCGCATCATGAGCAAACTAACAGCACGAGTCCCCAACCAAGCTCGGGTCATAATGACCGCCTCGCGGCTCGAGGACAGCTGATCGACCAGGTGGACAAGATGATTGCGTGGACACGGAAGGTCTGCCAGGAAGACGCCTCGACTGCCAACACCAGTGCATTCAAAAGTGTTGTAGTCGAGTTGTCTGCATCGACCAAGCGCGTCTTTGTGCTCGAGAATGCACGTCTAGAGAAGGTTGGTTTACCTGGCTGATTTTGCACCAATGTTGCTGATGCCAACGCTCACTCCCTTCTTCCCTTGCTGTGTGTGTGTGTGTGTGTGTGTGTGTGTGTGTGTGTGTGTGTGTGTGTGTGTGTGTGTGGTTGCTGTTCACTTTGTCTGCCGACGAATAGGCCTACGTGTGCACAAACTGCGGACTCGCACTTGATGCCGAGTGCGTTGCGTGCGATCGGCCGCACTCGGGCACACATGCCTGGTTCCATCGCGCCTGTGTCAGCCTTGCACCTGGGCAGTTTGAGTGCATGCCGTGGACATGCTCGAATGAATGCGGCAACTCACAAGAAGACATTGCAGGGCAGGATTTGTACCCGGACGAGTCTGTTTCCAACGTCGTTTCAAGAGCAATAGCATCTCCGACCTGTCCCAGTTGCACTCTCGGCTGCAAAAAGCTCTGTCAATCCCAAATCATTTGAGGCCAGGCTTGGGAATGACTACCGAAAAGTCACACAAGCCACAAAGGCGCGTCGCACTCACCCTTCTTCATCAACACTGGCTCGGCCAGCAATGCAGAGGGCACAAAGTTGGGG